GAGCAGGGGCTTTAGCCCAGTCCCAAGGGGTAGATCCTGGTAGATCTCAGCCGGTGGTTCTCACCCTGGTAGCACCTTAGGGCCACATTGGGAGCTTTAAACAATTCCTGTGTCTGGAACCCAGTCCCTAGAGCAGCGGTTCTCAACCTGTGGGTCGCGACCTCTTTGGGGGTCGAACGACGCTTTCACAGGGGTCGCCTAAGACCATCCTGCATATCAGATATTTACATTACGATTCGTAACAGTAGCCACATTACAGTTATGAAGTAGCAACGAAAATAATTTTATGGTTGGGTCACAACATAAGGAGCTGTATTTAAAGGGCCAGAAGGTTGAGAATCACTGCCCTAGAGCCAAGAGCATGGCACAACCCTGACAGCACCTGCAAGCTCGTTGGAGAAACGCTCTTCGGCCCCACCTGGGAGCAAACCCAGGCTCTGGGCTGGGAGCACCGCTGACAAAGCCCATCTGCTCTTTCACCCAAATTCCATTTTCTTTGGGTTGTTGTCCAGATGCTTCAGGCAAGAGGAAGGAGTTGCGGGGGGGGAGGAGGGGGGTGCTGGGGGAGAGGCAGGGAGTCCATCACTTGAACTTGGTTGGGTTTTGCCTGCAGAGTTGGAGACAGAACCTGGAGACAACGTTATCCATCACCCTCATTATATGAAGGAAAACGTTAGGTCTCCAGGTCCAGGAGGGGCTACGACCGGGCTGTGGTGCACCACCCTCTACCCTCTGGGGACTGTCAAGCCTGCAGGTGGTGGCTGCGGAGCCTCACCGTGGCTGAGCCCACACTCGCAGCTCAGGCTGGGTCCCGGCCTGTCTAGGCCCGAACATGCTTGGATATGCTGACTCCCCTCCACTCCACACTCTTCATCAGTGGTTCTCAACCTTGGCTGCACATTAGAATCACCTGGGAATCTTTTTAAAATCCTGATTTCTGGGCCTCATCCTCCGGAAATTCTGTTTCTTTGTTATGGGGTGGGGCCACAACATTAGTAACAAAGAAACAGAATTTCCGGAGGATGAGGCCCAGCAATCAGGATTTTAAAAAGATTCCCAGGTGATTCTAATGTGCAGCCAAGGCTGAGAACCGCTGCTCTACACCATCCCTGCAACAGGCAGAACCCACTTGTTCATCCACATCTGCACCCACTCAGGACGTGGAGTGTTTGTGTCCCACAGGCTAATTAACATCCTAAGGGTCTTATTAGCATGTGAGAGGGGGTCGACTGAGCGTGGGGTAAGAGTCAAGACTGGAGAGTGGCAAATGGGCTCTATGTACTCACGGAGCAGGTGGCCGCTAGAGGGGCAGCCTGAGGCACAGGGCCCTGGGTGTGCGGGTACCGCCCCTGCACTTCTTCAGGTGGAACGCCATGGCCCCTGCCCTCCTCTGTCCTTGATCCACGTGTGATGGCTAATTCTGTGTATCATCTCGGCAGGGCCTTGGTGCCCAGGTATTTGGTCAAACATTATTCTGGCTGTTTCTGTAAAGATGTTACTTTTGGGATGAGGTTAACATTGCAATCCGTGGACTGTGAGTAAAGCAGCTTGCCCTCCATAATGTGGTGGGCCTCACCCATCACCTGAAGGCCTGCATGGAACAAAGACTGACTTCCCCTGGGCAGACGGCCCTCAGACTTGAACTGGGACTCTTCCCTGAGTCTCCAGTCCGCTGGCCTCCCCAGTAAGATCTTTTTCTCCCCCTAAGATCTTGGACTTGCCAAGCCTCCATCATCAGGTGAGTCAATTCCTTGAAATAAATCTCTCTATACGCACATCCTGTTGGTTCTGTTTCTCCAGAGCCTGGACACAGCATGTTTACTTAGGGAGAAAGGAGAGTTACCCAAACACGGAGGAGGGGCCTCTCCCCACGTGTGGCTCTGGAACATCCCCACGAAACCGGGGACACGTGTGGATCTGCCCGTAACTCCTCCCTCACCTCGGTGCACAGCTGAAACGGACCCTTCCTCTGCAGGCCATCTCCTGGTGTTTGGGTGCTGAGGCATCACCCACTCACACCTGAGGCAAGAAGGAGGGTGGTGAGTTCCAGGTGGGAGGGAACCGACATCCCGATGGCTGGTAACCCTCAGTGGTTTTATTCCAAAAATTCATCAGACTTTGGTGTATGAGTTTCCCCTCCCATTTTTTGAGGGCGAAAAGGAAAAGCGCTCATCCATGTATTTTTTGAAGAGCTTAGGAAACAAAAGATCCGAAAGTGTACTGGGGAAGGGACCCTAATTCATGATCTCGGAGCTGAGTTTATATACTTTAATGGTTGATCAAATCCTCTTGATTGTGGAGAGGCGGCGAGTAGGGTTCCGCTCTGAGATGACGTCCTAGGCCAGTGGTCGGCAAACTCCTTAGTCAACAGAGCCAAATATCAACAGTAAAGAATTGAACATTCTTTTGAGAGCCAAATGTTTTAAACTTAAACTCTATAGGTAGGTACATTGTTATTAACTTAATTAGGGTACTCCTAAGCTGGCCTTTGCTAAAAACGTCCTCATTCTAGGGGTCGACCTCAGCGAACGTACCCCCACTTCTTCTAATGCCACTTCTTCAAAATAGACTCGCCCAGGCCGAAAACCGACTTCTGCGCATGGGCCACGAAGTTTCCATCGCACTGTACGTGGGCGCCCGCACGTGGTATTTTGTGGAAGAGCCACACTCAAGGGGCCAGAGAGCCGCATGTGGCTCGGGAGCCGTGGTTTGCCGACAACTGTCCTAGATGGAAAGGCCACTGTGATGGCTGCGCAGTGACTGAGGAGGCGCTCAGTTCCTAAGATGAGTGTGAACTGCACGTTCCCAGGGTCAGAGCTGCTTCGCTGAGCAACTCAGCATCCAGGCCACAAGGGGCCCACCCTAAAGCTGGGACAGCCATCGCCCGGGGCGAGGGGCGTCTATCTCCTCCCCGTGCACACAAACCAGCCTGTCGCAGTGACAGAGGAAGGGCGCGGGAGGGCGAGGAAAGTGCATCCTGCGAGCTAATTCCCCCGGCGAAAGCTGTAGGAGAGCGTATCTGCACGCCCGGCCCAGCCGGCTGGGAAAAGCTACCCGCTGGTCTCCAGGGACTCTCGCCGGTCCCTTGGCTGCAGGGAGAACGCGGTTTCCATGTTATTCCGTAAACAGTAGCCAAAAACCGCAACAGCCATCACAGGTGCCAACAGAGGGAGAGCTGGGTTTAGAGTTGCTACTGGTTCATAGGCAAGGGTTGAAGTCACACACGAGGGCAACCTGGGCTTTCTCCAGGAAGCTGACTCGTGCGATCTGGGGGTGGGGTCCTTACAAAGAGGGGGTGTGGACACCACGCGTGCAGAGAAAAGACCACGGGAGGACATGGTCGAGTGGTGGCCATCAGCAAGCCAAGGGGGGCCTCAGACGAAGCCCGACATGCTGACTCCTTGATCTCGGACTCTTGGCCTCCAGAATGTGAGAAAAGTGTATGCCGTTTAAGCCGCCCAGTCTGCGGCATTTTGTTATGGCCGCTGAGCAAATAAACAAAAAAACCCAACAAAAACCCAAACCACTGCCCTTTGGAAGGCTGCACACGTCACGTGCACGTCTCTGTAAAACTTTTCAGAGCCCACGAGGCGCCACTGTAGCCTTGTGCCCAGAAACAATGCCACCTTAGAGCGCGGAAGAGGAAAGCAGGCAGGGCAGAGACGCGCAGGCAGCCGGCAGTTTCACTAGTCAAAACCTCAGATCCAAGCCGCCCGGCTGAGACCCCCGAGAACTGAGGGGTGACGCCCACAGAGGTGCTCCCACCGTGTTCCGCCCCGTGGACTTCACGTCGGTGCCTCCCACGTCCTAGCCCAGGTTTCCTATCAGGAAAATGGGCATCATGCCGCCTTGCCTTCTGGGGGCACCTATATGCCTACACAGGTCCCATACCCAGGAAGCAGACCCTCTATTAGGGTTCGACTGGCAGCCCCCCAATGTTCCTGGACATCCTCAGGAGAGACGCTGGAGAGTCCCAGCCTGGCTTGTTCAGACTCAGAATGCACCAGGTGTCGGCAAATGCAGCTCCAACTCCCACGCAGCCTCCTCGCAAGCTGCCTTCTGCGGGTGGTACAGACATCTGTCCCCATGATTCAATGTTAGGGCCGTGGGCTGGAAGTGAGGCCCCTGTGAGCAGGGACAGTATCCCCAGGGCCTGAAATAGAGCCTGGGAATATTCACTCGGACCAGCAAAATTCTCATCATCAGAGTCACTTCTTGGGGTTAAGGCATGAAAGACCCCTGTTGAATATGTCACGGACGGAGGGGCCATACATAGTAAGACATCATCAGCCACTAACACCTCTTTGTGACTTCATCAGAGTGGCCTCAGAGCGCCCTCAGCCCCTGGGGACCAAGATGGGCAGCTGAGTTCTGGTGGGAGGAGGAGTCACAGTCTGTGGGCAGAGAGGGAGGGGACAGCACAGACGGGTGTGTTGTATGGAGGGACGTGGTGACAAAAAGAATAAAAGATTTCACAAGGACACTGCTTGGCAACGCAGAACCAGCCAGACCGCCCTATCAGTCACCTTTTGTCCAGGGGGCCAGATCCTGAATGTGAGGGCCAGGCCCAATGGCAGACACACGTCCAGCTGGGGGTATGGAAGGAGCTTGGCGTCCCAGAGCTGGCCTTGGCCTGGGGCCATGAAGTTGGGTGTGCAGGGATGAATACATGGCTAGACACCCACCTGTCCCAGGAAAGGGGAGAGCGGCTGGAGTGATTGGCACTCAAGAGGCGGGGCTACACCCATGCTCTCTGCCAATCTGCTTGCCCACTGGCTCCAGACTCCTGACACCACTGGGGGGCAGTTAGAGACATTCTGGGGGAAGCAGGGAGACAACATGGTCATGTGACAACAGCTAAGCGTGGGGGCGGCCTTGGCCTGTCCACCACGGGCTGGGCCCAGGGCGCACAGGCCAGCAGGGGTGAGCCTGGGAGAGGCTGTCTGGCCATCCACGGTCCCGGGGGGCGGTGGGGGGGAGTGGGGGGATAGGGGGACGGGGACAGGGGAGGGGGGTAGGCAGTGAGCTCAGCAGGGCGAGGACGACATCTGGTCGTAGTCGGGGCACTTGAGCAAGGCTGGGTAGTTGCTGTTCATCTGCAGCGAGGCGTCGCTGGAGATGTCGGAGGGGCTGCGGCCCCGGACCCAGGCGTCTGGGTGCAGGAACTGGCCTGAGTAGTCGGAGCAGTTGCTCAGCCGCGGGCGGTAGAGGCCGGGGTGAGGCCTGTACATGTCCTCGGCGGCGTACCTCCTCATGAACAGGTACACGGACATCACGCCCGCGCTCTGCAGAGGGAGGGAGCAGAGGAGAGCTCACCGCTGGGGGCCTGGCGCCCACGGGTCTGCACGGGCAGTGCCCGCTCCCCACCCAGCCTGCGGGGGCATTACCTCCGTTAAGAGGAAGGAGATGGCAGCGAAGGCGAAGGACCAGCCGTACTTGTAGCTGAAGTAGGTGTCCGCGTCCTTGGTCCTGTTGAGCATCTCGTCGTTGATGCTGGAGATGTAGAGCACCAGGCCCACCACCAGAGAGAGGCCTGGAGCAGGGCGGGTGTTCAGGGAAGGGCCGCGGGGTGCGGATGGGGGCCCGCCTCCCCTGGGGCTCAGGACGAAAGCCCGGGCCTTGTGGCGACAATGCGCTCATTCTGGAGGTCAGAGGGAGCCGGCGCTCTCCTCCGAGGCCCTGTCCGGAGCTGCAGTAAGACAGCTCCCGCCCTGTTTTGTTTGAGAGTTAGTTTTGGGTGGTGAACACACAATACAATACACAGATGACGGATTATGGAATTGCACCCCTGAAACCTGTGTAATTTCATGAACCAATGTCACCCCAATAAATTCAAATAATAAAAAAGAAAGAAAACAAGCGCCTTGGCCGGCTGCCTCCTGAGCCATGGTAAGCCTGAGGGTTCTCACCCCACCTGCCCGCTAGGATCACCTGTCAGACGTAGATGCCTGACCCGCCCCCCCCCCCCCCCCCCCCGCCGGACATTCTGAGTCACCCCAGTGACCTCATGTGAAGGACGGGTGAGAACCATGAGCCAGCAGGCGGCTTTTGCTAAACTGAGGAGTAAGACAGGCCCCGTGATAGAGGCAGCAGCCTCCGGTTCCTGCCTCCAGGGCGGAGGAACATCATGGAGGAGACCAAGTGGCTCATGGTCCGCCCAGCCCACCTGACCCCTGGGTGTGGCCTGTTGAGATCGCTGGGCAGAGAGGCAAGGAGAGTGTGTCCAGATCCTAGCCATCGTTAAGTCGGCGGGGCCCAAACTCCCGGCGCCGTTGTGCCAATGACGGCCTCAGGCACCGGTCCCATCAGTTAGTGACTGTAATCGAATCAGGACATAACTAATTGCTCTGTTTTGAGCTATTCAGGTTTAATTCCATTTATGTGATTAAACTAGGGCCTCTTGAAGGATGACTGTTCAAGGAAAATCAATGATTCAAGACTTCCTTGGCACTTAACGTGTGTTTGCACCACTGGGGCCCAGGGGACCCTGTCCATCGCTATCTGCAAAACAACTTCCCTCAGCCCGGTCCCACCCCTCGGCCCGCCTCCCACCCCTCATCCCGCCTCCCACCCCTCGGCCCGGCTCCCACCCCTCATCCCGCCTCCCATCCCTCATCCCGGTCCCCACCCCTCATCCCGGTCCCCACCCCTCGGCCCGGCTCCCATCCCTCAGCCCGGCTCCCATCCCTCAGCCCGGTCCCCACCCCTCAGCCCACTGCTGAAACATCCCAGGTGCCTCAGAGCTACGGGGTAGCCTTGACTATCGCCAGGTTCATAGAAAGGGAAAGAGCGTCACCCAGGTCCCTGCCTCTGGACGAGGGGGAAGTACCGCCCTGCAGAGGGCGGGCTGAGCTCTCTTCAGGTGCCTGATAACGGTGTGCTGGATGGATGGACAGATGGGCAGAGGAATGAATGGCTTCTCAGATGGAAGGATGGACTTCCGGAGCAGAGCTCTGTGGGAGTCAGAAGCCCAGGGTGCACGAAAACAGACACTTACCCGAGAGGATGAAGAAGATGCCGGAGACAAAGGCCAGGATGGTCCTGTGCGGACGGATGTGCCCGATGTTGCTCAGGATGAACCCAATGAACATGAAGAAGAGACTGACCAGAGGGAACGGTGTGGCCGAGCGAATCATTTCTGATGGAGGCACAAGAGGCCTCTGTCAGCCCCAGGCGCCTTCCTCGCTCCTACCCTCCTCAGGCGAGGCTTCCTGGCAGTGTCCGCCAGCTGTCAGGTCCCAGAGCTGCACCTGCAGGCGCTCCCTGGCCTGCACCCCCTCCTGCGGTGGCCTGGGACCTCGCAGGGCTTTGTCCCTTAGCCCTTAGCCTGTGGCGTCTGTGCTAACCCAGGGGGAATTGTACTGCAAATGCACCCTAGGGACCAGAACCAGCTCTGGGGGGCCAAGGCCTGGAGGTCAGTCTTGTTGGGGGCCAGAGGGCTTGATTCAGTTCCCTGAGTACTATGGTCTGAATGACTGTGTCCCCCAAATTCCTATGTGATGGCATCAGGAGGTGGGGCCTTTGGGAGGTGCTTAGGTCACGAGGGTGGAGCCCTCAAACAGGGGATTAGTGCCCTTAGGGAATGAGGCCCCGCAGAGCTCCCTCACCCCTCCCTCCCGCCGTATGAGGACACAGGAAGAGGCCCCACCAGAACGGGCCATGCTAGAGCCTTGATCGTGGACTCCTAGTCTCCAGACCCGAGAGAAAGACATCTCTGGTGTTCATACGCTCCCTGGTCTGTGGGGTTTTGCTCTAGCAGCCCAACCAGACCAAGATGCTGGGTATGGATGGCCTCTCACTCGCCTGGGTCACAGGCCTGGGACATTTCGAACCCGTCACCACCCCTGGATCAATAATCGACAGTAAGTCCCGGGGAGCTCAGGCCAGCACCACCAGCTGAGTCTGAGGACCTTAGTTCCAAAGAAACAAGTGGTCACCCATCCCTTCCCTCCGCCCTGCTCACTGCACTGTCTGGCCAGGGCCCAGGATGGAGTCTGAGGCACCTACTCAGAACGTTGACCGTGGACTCGGACGTCAGCTGGCTGTTCATGGGCATCACGTACTCTATGGTGAAGCAGCGTCCGCGCTCCTCACCTATGAAGACAAGGATCGGTTGCCTGTCCAGGTCCTTCTGGAAGGTGGGTTTGAGGTATCGCCCACCCTGGAAACTGGTGGATGCAGCGACGCTGAATCAAGGGGACCCGGTCGCCTCCCGAACCTTCATTCCCTCGTGTGCAGGGTGGGATCAGGAACCAGTCCTGCCTGGCAGTGCTGTGGGCATGGAGATCAGTGAAGCCCTGGCGCAGGCACGGAGGGCACCTCTAGCCCTGAGCTGTGCCAGCTGCCCTCAGCCTGGAGGTGGAGCGGGGGGAGCCGTGGTCACAGTCACCTTTCCCGTGGGAGGGCCCAGGTCCCGGGAGATGAGAGGACTTGCTCAAATGGACACTACACGCCAGGCTCCGGTCTGGGGTGGGTCCCCGTGGCTGCAGGGACACGCCCTGGGTTCATGAGGATTGTCTGGGGGAACCGCCTCCTTCCAGCAGGGCCTCTCCTCCCAAGGTGGGGCAGGGGGCTCTTGGGCAGGCTTTCCCGGGGCAAGGCTGCTCCTCCCTGGGGCAGGGGGCTCTTGGGCAGGCTCACCCTGTGCCCTCACCTGCGAGGAAGCAGACACGCCACAGGCCCGAGTGCAGGGACATCCTGATCTCTGTGCTCTGGTTCTGGGGCAGGACCACGCCCTCCTCCAGGTACAGCCAGTAGTCGGTGCTGACGGCGATGCCCAGGAGGCCCAGGCCGCACACGGCAAAGACGCTGCTCAGCAGGGTCAGCGCCTTCCTCCCGCAGGCGCTCATCTTCCCGGACGGTCAGGTGGGTGGCCTGCAGCCGTGGTCCCGCCAGCAGGGGGCAGGCTCTGGGGACAGGAGAGAGGCTGGGCACTCGGGCAGGAGCAGCCAGGGCTCCGAGGAGGCCACGATGAGAGGCCGTGGGAGGTTACTGAAGCGAACCCCACCTGGCTAACTGATGAGTACAGACCACCAGGCTGGCCAGCTCTCTGGACACCAGGCCACTGGTCAGAGGTGCCACCCTCTTCCTCCCCCTGCCAGGAATTCACAGCTTTCTTCCCAGGCTACAAGGGGCCACCTTGTCCTCTGTGGGAGTCCCCCTGCTAGATAACGCTATTCATTCATTCATTCATTCACCCAGTAATCCATGGTGCCCAACATGGGAGATAAAAAGACTGAACATGACGCTTTCCTTGACCTTGAAGACGTCCTGCCTAGAAGGACCAAGGCACCCAGGGGATCTGCCCGAGAGCTCAGGCGCAGGAGGAGGGCTGAGGGTGAGCTCTGCTGGGGGCTTCTCGTGTGGAGGACTCCGAGGGTCCCGTGCACCCTGGCAGAGCCGCGGCGTCAGGAAGGGGAGCAGCCACAGCCTCGGGAACAGGCAGAGGGCAGAGCAGGCTTCTGGGGAAGGGGCCTTCCTCCTGGGCTGTGATCAGTTGTAGTTCTAGGTCATAGGAAGTAAAGGCGCCAGACCACAGTCCAAGGTCAAGGGGCCTCCTGCACCCACCGCGTTAGGAGCCGTGTGACTCTTGCCTGCTCAGCACATGGTATCGGCAGGAGCCAGCTCTGCTCCAGCCAGAGAGACGCGAAGGGTCTGTTCATGGTGAGCCACAAGCACGTCTGCAGATCCCTGCCAGCGCCAGGCACTGGGCTCAGAGCTGAGAGACCCGAGGAATAGGGCAGATGGATGCTGACCCCCTCTTCCTCCCACGGAGCCCACAGCCCAGCGCAGGGCTCTGATGGAGAATCACCAGGGAGAGCCCAGCAACCCCCACCCGGGCGCCCCTCCCCGTGCCTGGTGCAGTTGGGCTCCAATGAGGGCGACGCGCTTCCCCAGTGCTCCCAGTGACCCTGATGGGCAGCCCGGGTGGAGAACGACGGCCTTTGCTACTCGAAGTGTGAACCACGGGCCGCAGCATCACCTGGGAGCCTGTTAGAAATGCGGCCGCTCAGGCTCCCCCAACTTTGTAAATGGAATCCACGCTGTAACAAGATCCAGGTGAGTGTGTACCTGCTCAAGTCTGAGAACCGTGCCAAGCAACCAGTGGCAGGGAAGCAAGGAGTGATGAGCCCAGAAGAAGGTCACCCAGGGGGGAGCTGGAGGGACGGGCAGAGGATGGGGCTTGGCACTTGGCGCGCCTCGCCTAGGTGGCCATGCTTGCAACATTGCTGAAGTGTCAACCCTTGGCAATAACGCACAGCCAGAAATGCTGAAACAGGACGTTAATGTTAATGTCCGGTGAGTGTCAGGCCCCAGCACCTGTGCCGGGAGATGGAGACACCTGTGGTGACCCAGGGGTCCTACTCAGGGCTGAGGCACAGGTGGGTCCTGGCTGAGCCAGCGGAAAAGGGACAGAAGTCATGCTCACGCGGGAAGCGCTGCTCTAGGCCATGAAGGGTCTCATTGCACATTCACAGGTTAAAGCCTCGGAAAGTGTGTTTAGCTGCACTCGTTCCAGTGTTTTCCAAGCATATCTGTCCACACAATGGCGTCTCGTTCTGTGAACCCACCTTGGGAATGAGGCTCTCCCCCATGAAGAATGACAAGGCCTGTCCCCCCCCCCCCATCCCCAAGCTGCTAGGAGATGAAATGGCGCAGCAGCCATGCCAGGGCTTTGGAAATTCGCAGGCACGATGCTGGTGTAAGGACTGTTATTAAGCAGAGATGGGCAGATACTGCTAAGCTCGCGCTCCTGTAAGGCGGCCAGATCAGGGCTTCTGAAATATGACAGCTAACGGCTCGCTGGAGCTGAACGTCGATTTTAATGATAATCTTGGCAGCGAGACAACAAAAACCTTGGGTCTTGCAGGCCTGGGAGGATGAAAGTGGAGAGGAGATTGGATCTGAATCTCCAAATGCAAGAAACAAAAGAAGCGGCGATGACCCACCGAGCTCTGTAACAGCCGAGCGTGAAGCCTGGAGGGAGCTTGGGAAAAGGGGAACGTCCTTCCAGAGTGTGTGGCAAACTTACGGAACTCGGCCCAGAGTGAAAAATAACAACCCGGCCCTAATCAGTTTGGCTCAGTGGATAGAGCGTCAGCCTGCGGACTCAAGGGTCCCGGGTTCGGTTCTGGTCAGGGACATGTGCCTTGGTTGTGGGCACATCCCCAGTGGTGGGTGTGCAAGAGGTCTCTGTAAAAAATCAATAAAATATATTTAAAAAAAAATAACAACCCGATTCATTGCACACGTGTCATTATGCTTCTATCACAAAATCATATTTATTTACAAATAAATAATATCAGGGCCTCACAACACCCTGTAGGTAGGTAGTGTTAGGCCCATTTTGTGGATCGGGAAACCGAGGCTCAGAGATGGTAAGCAGCCTACAGGACAGTCCCAGTGGGTGACAGACTGTGGACTGAAACCGAGGTCTGGTCCCAAAACCGAGCTCTGGCTCCACCGTCTCCCTCCTAAAGACGCACACCGTCCCAGAGGTGCTGGGGTGAAGCGACACATCCGCGTGGGTCACTAGGGAATCTAGAAACGTATGTGATGCAATACTTGGAGGACTGTCTTTGTAAATGGCCAAGTGTCACCTAAGGGCTGTTCCTTTCTTTTTGTTTTGTCAATCCTCCCCTGAGGGTATTTTTTTCACTGCTTTTCAGAGAGAGAGAAGGAGAGGGAGAGGGAGGAAAGAGAGAGAGAGAGAGAGAGAGAGAGATCGACTGGTTGCCTCCCGCAGGCACCCCCACTGGGGCAGGTATGTGCCCTTGACTGGGAATCGAACCCGAGACCCTCCAGTGCATAGGCCAACACTCTAACCACTGAGCAAACCAGCCACAGCTAAAGGCTGTTGTTAGGTCGGAGAGAGCCCAGGATCGGATACATGCAGACATGACAAGATAATGGACTTCCCCTGGAATTTCTCACAGATCAAGGTGCCAGACACAGATACCAGCTTCTTCTCCCTGAATTCACATACCCCCACACAGATAAGAACTTCGTCCTGAATATTCCGCCCATTCCCTGCAGCAGAGAATTCCTCAGCTCATGTCCCCGCCCCTCACCCAACCGCAGTATAAAAAAAGCGCCCGCCTCCCTGTTGGCGTGAATCCACGTGCCCTGTCCTTGGGGTACGTGGGTCTCCCGGGGACGCAGAATAAACCTTTTCCTTTCCTTTCTTTTCTGATTCACTGGACTCTATTTCTTGCGCCGCCTCCTGTGCCACCTAACCTAACAGCTGTTTCTTGATCCCACTGGGCAGATCTCCTCCTGCGCCTCCTGGAGGTGCTCTGACTCAGCATTCCCGATTCCGAAAACCACCTTGCAGGGCGGGAAGACTGACATTTCTCCCAAACCGCATCCAAGCACGTCCAGGTGCAGAAGGAAGAAGGACCGGAAGCCACCCAGCCAGGCCCATGGGGGGACAAGGTGTGAGCGGGTCACGTCTGGGTGCTGGTCCAATGCTTTCCCCCGGTGCTGCGTGGAAATCGTCAGGCAGCCGATGACGATGACCGGCCCGCCCCATTCTAAAAACACCGTTCGTCGCATCTTAGTTCATTGCCTTCCTGACTTTCTCCGATGTAACCGCATCGGTGCACCCCGTGTCTTCCGTTGGTGGGAGCAGGGATGGGGGTCCCCGGGGAGACGCCGGCTGGTCTGGCATGAATTTCTAGTTCCCAGTCACCAGGCGTCGGTCTAAGCCTGCTTTTACACGGTGGCTGCTTTCCCCACGAACCCCATCCCCCTTACCAGGTTCACTTGAATCTTCTGACGGGGAAGGCAGACTCTTTTATAAGTTGCTGCCACCAGGGTAGATGTTTATGTTACATGTAATAATAAGTGAATAAAGCTGGATGTAAAACCAGGTCTCGAAGGAATCCAACTGGGGAAAAACTCATAAGCTGGGAAGAGATAAACCAAAGCCAGGACGGTGGACGCGTCCAGATAATAAGGTTAAGTATATTTGATTTTCTTTATCACTTCCCTGTGCTCGACAAAGCTGCTAGGAAAACGTATTATTTCTATACCCAGAGAGGAGCACAAAGACTAGAGTCATCAATTCACCACTCGCTGCCCTCGGGCGCGGGGCCCCAGCTAACCCCTGGGCAGGAGCTGCTGAAATGCGATGTTACCCTTTGGGGCGTGGGGCCCAGAAGCGGAAACATGGCAGCTTTGAGCCTTTTACGATGATTATCCGGGTGCATTACCTCCGCGTATTACCTTGTTAATTATCAGGAATTAACAGCTGCTAATTATCATCCGTGACTAGCAATTACGGGAAAATGTCTTGTGGAGAATTAAATCACAAACGGCACACTTCCCTGCCCAAGCCAGTAATGAAAGGACTTCAGTGACGTGCTTAGGTGCTCAGTGACAGGTGAGGGTACCGGTGTGAGGGGGAGCCCAGCTACAGGATGGGACAGTAGTTTAATTGGAGAGAAGGAGAAGGTGGAAGGACAGTCCAATGCAGAACGCGGACCTCAGTTTCCTACCGGCCCAGAGAAACCTGCTCCTGTGAGCTGGTCTAGGGACTCAGCATCAGCCTGGCCAGCTCCCAGCAGGATGACTGGTGACCATCAGCCCCTAGTGGTCGCATGGCTCTGCCTGCTGTCCACCGTGCTGAATGCCATTGCACTCTCGGTGGCTAGAAAGGGACCACAGATTCCTTGCCATTCTTCCCATTGAGAGGTGGGGTCCACGCACGTCCCCTCCCCTTCAGTCTAGGCAGGTTTGGGACCGTTTCGACCAACAGCGTGCACTGAAATGCTGACTCCTGAGGCTGGGTCATAAAAGGAGGTGCGGTTTCCGAATGCTCCCAGAGCTCCCCCACGGGGAACCCAGCCCCCATGTAGGAAGTCCGACCTCCCTGAGACTGCCGTGCCTTAGAGCAGGTTCTCAATC